CACTGAAAACTTTATGGGCAGAATAGAAACATTGTCAGATACTGAAAACATTATTAAAATAAAAAAACTTTGACAGAGATAGTGCCAGAAATGGAGCCCCTCAGATCAAACCTAAAATATAACTGAAAAATAGCTGCCTTCTCGAAGTAGATCAACCATAATGACATGAACAGTGTAAAGCTTTGAGGGCCTTTATTTGCTGATGAGAAGAAACAGCTGCAAACATCAATTAATAATTGGAACTCAAAATGTACAAAGCATGAATCTAGGAAAATCTTAAGTCATTAAAAATCAATATCCTAGACATTAGTGAGCCCAACTGGACTGGCATTGGACGTTTGAGTTAGAAAATAATGGTTTTCTACACTGGAAAAGAATCAAGAGGAATATTGTTGCTTTCATCATCAAAAAGTACATTTCACGATCTATCTTGAAATACAATGCTGCCAGTGATAGGATTATATCCATCCTTTTTCAAGGAAATCCATTCAACAAACTATTATTCAAATTTATGCACCAAAGCTACTGATGAAGAAATTGAAGAACACTATCAACCTGTTCAGTCTGAAATTGATCAAACATGCAATCAAGATGCATGAATAATAGCAGCAGCTATGAGCAAACGGGCTGACTGTGAAACAGACAATTGGTCTTATGTAAGTCCAGAGTGAAGCTAAAGAACATGAAACAAGTCCACAAAAGCCAAAATTCAGCCCCGAGGCCACCTGAATTTCAAAAGCGCCTCAAGAACAGATTTGAGGCCTTGAACATTAATAAGACCAGATGCATTGTGGAATAACACTATTCATGAAAAACACACATTAAAAAAGCAAAAGGTCATTAAAAAGACAGGAAAGAAAAGACTAAAGTGGATGTCAGAAGAGACTCTGAAACTTGCTCTTAATTGTAAAGTGGCTAAGACATGGATGGAATGATGAAGTAAAAGCTGAACATAAAAAAAAGCTGAACATAAAGTTTCAAATGGAAGTTCAAAGAGATGTAAAATATAATGAAATGTGAAGACTTAAAAGTTAAGAAGGAAGAACACAGTATACTTTAAACTGAAAAAAAACTTTAAAAAAACGTCAAGCCTCTGGTTGTAATACTGAAAGATTCTATGGACAAAATATTTAATGATACAGGAAGCATCAAAAGAAAATGAAAAGACTACACCGAGTCACTGTACCAAAAACAACTAGTTGACATTTAACCATTTCAAGAGGTAGCATATGAACAAGAACCAATGATGCTTAAGGAACAAGTTCAAGAAGTGGCCAACAAGGCTCCAAAAATTGATGAAATACCATGAAAAGACTTCAACAAGCTGATGAAGGTAGCACCCACTCATCTTGCCAGAAAATTTGTAAGGCAGCTATTTGGTCAATTGACTGGAAGAGATCCATATTTGTACCCATTCCAAACAAAGATGACCCAAGAGAATGTACAAATTATAGAACAATATCATTAATATCACAAGCAAGTAAAACTTTGCTAAAGATCATTCAACAATGGTTGCAGCACTATATTGACAGGGAGCTTCCAGAGGGTCAGGCTGGATTCAGAACAGGACAAGGTACAAGGGATATCACTGCTGATGTGAGATGGATTTTGGCTGAAAGCAGAGAATACCAGAAAAATGTTTACTTGGGCTTTATTGACTGCGGTTAAGGTTTTTGACTGTGTGGACCATAACGAACCATGGGTAGCCTTGAGAAGAAATGGAAACCCTGAACACTACACTGTGTTCACATGAAATACAAACATGGATCAAGAAGCAGTTGTTTGAACAGAACAAAGGAGTACTATATGGGTTAAAATTAGGAAAGGTGTGAGTCGTTTGTATTCTTTCACCATATTTACTCAATTTGTATGCTGAGAAAGTAACCAAAGCAGCTGGATTATATGAATAATGTGGCATCAAGATTCAAGGCTTACTAACAACCTGCAATATGCAGATGACACACCTTTCTTGCTGAAAGATGAGGATTTGAAGCACTTGCTGATGAAAATCAAAGATTGTAACGTTGGTATGGATTACAGCTCGTTGCAAAGACCAAAATCCTCAGAACTGGACCAGTAGGTAAAATCATGATAAATGGAGAAAAGATTGAAGTTGTCAAAGATTTTGTCTTCCTTGGACCCACAATCAGTGCTCATGGAAGCAGCAGCCAAGAGATCAAATGATAGGTTACATGGAGTGAATCTGTACACGATCTTTGTAAAGCATCGAACAGCAAGGATGTTATTTTGAGGACTAAGCCATGGTATTGTCAATCATATGAATGTTGGACATTGAATACAGAAGACTGAAGATGAATCGATACATTTGAATTATAGTTCTGTCAGACTATTGAAAGTACCATGGACTGCCAAAAGAACAAAGAAATCTATCTCTGAAGAAGTAAAGCAGAATGCTCCTTAGAAGCCAGAGTAGTGAGGCTTTGTCTCACATACTCTGGACGTGTCAGGAGAGACCAGTCCTTGGAGAACGATATCATGCTTGGTAAAGTAGAAGGGAATCTAAAGTTAGGAAGACCTCTGACAACGTGGATTAACCCAGTGGCTGCATCAGTAGGCTCAAGGAAAAGAACAGTTGTGAGGCTGGCCCAGGACCAGGCGGTTTCCTTGTGTTGTACACAGGGTTGCTGTGAGTCAGAACTCAATGGCACCTAGCAAGAACAGCAGCAGTGGCTGACAGAGAGGATATGCAAAATACTTGTCACAAAAATGAATGACTTGTTATGAAGAATTTGGATTTGATTGTGGAATATTTTCCAATATAGTACTTATAAAATCCTTGCCAAATAGTCTCTCTTTAAGGCAAGTCATTGCTTGATTCCTGTGGCATTACATGTATAACAATGATTACTAAGTTCCTACCTACTACATTCTATCCTTAAAATCCTCACAGCTGCTAAAGAACTAAATTCTAGTGCCACACAAAAAAATGAAATAAAATTCTGGGCTCGTGAATCAATACATATTTGTTGTTGTTGGGTGCTGTTTGAGTTCAGTCCAACTCATAAGGATCTTCTGTACAAGAGTGAGATTCTGCCTAGTCTTGTGAACCCTCACAATTGTTGCCGTCTACGGATGAGTCCGTTGTTGCAGCCAATGTTTCAGTTTGTTTCGTTGAAGGTCTTTTGCTTTTGCTTTTTTTTTTAATCATTTTATTAGGGGCTCATACAACTCATCACAATCTGTACATACATCATTTGTGTCCAGCACATTAGTACACATGTTGACTTCATCATTCTCACAACACCTGCTTTCCACTTGAGCCCTTGGTGTCAGCTCCTCATTTTCCCCCTCCCGTCCCGCTCCCCCTGAACCCTTGATAATTTATAAATTATTACTATTTTATCATATAAGTCTTTTTCTTTTTTTACTGACCTATTTTACTTAGAGCCAGTTGATGTATTTTGGAGGTCAACAAAAATGGAAAGTAAGCCATTTAGCTGGTGAGAAGTGAGGAAAAATATGTTTGGCCGATGAACTTCAAAACTGACTTTGCCCACTCCCTAGTTTCAGTCAAGGTCAAAAGTTGAGGTAAAGGACCCTGCAAATACTACGGTGGGGCTACCCTTGGACCCAAACGTTTTCCTGCAGCATAGGTCAGTCTAAAAGCATTGCTACTAGGTTTCCAGTTTGAATGTCCCCAGACCCCCAAAAGCAAACAGGGCCATCAAGCTGATTCGGACTGTACCGGGCTTGGAAGCTCGTTTTCCCCCCACAGGGCGGCTGACAGATTTGAACTGCCCGTGAGGTTAGCAGCTCAGTCCCACAGCCCCAAATAAAACATGTCCCTGTGATGAGTGAATGGCAGCACACAGTCAGTCTCCTGAGAGTGCTTTCAAATAGAGTCCAATTAAAACGGTGCCTTTGAAGATCTGTTTGTTGGGCCACTTCAACTCAAAGAAGAGAGAGTTTAGCTTAGAAAGTTATGGCCACTATTTCTTGTGGATTCCGAAGGGGTAATCTTGATAGATTTTCTGGTAAGACCAGAGGATGGTCTTATTATGAAGTTTTAAATTTCATACACCAAAAATGAATTGATGAGAAAAAGGCCATGATGGCTGCAACAACGGATATTTTTCTGAGAAGAAAATACACCTGCTCATTTTTTGAGAGTATCAAAGGGTGTCCTGTGAGAATTTTATTGGGAAACTTTTCATACACCATCCACCCTACTGTCATGGTATTAGTCCTTTACTTCCTTTGTCCAAACACACACACATGATTAGGCTACATTTTGTTCCCTAAACTCAAAACTTTTCAAAAGAGCACGATTTGCTTCCCTTAAGGATGTCAAAGTGCATAGAATTGCAGATGTCAAAGAGCATAGAATTCTTCTGGGAAAAGCTAAACAGATGGAAACAGTCTTCAGAAGTACATACATGGATTGAACCCATGTCAAGCAACAATAGCTTCATATGTTGATATTTTTGTTTAATAACGGTTTATGGTTTAGTAGCAGTCTGTTTATTTGAAATATTTTAATAGTAATACTTTTTGACTCACCCTGTACTTAAGTTTCACGTGCCATAGAAGATATATAGATTTTCATTTTCTTGAAACCCAAAGGAATACATCTTGAGGAGGATGACCCAACTTTAGTGTCCAAAACGCTTAAAAACAGTGCTGTCCTAAAAGGCCAGAGGAGGACTTCATCCTCATTCCGAAGTCATTTATTAAAGTGTTCCTTCCACTCAGTGTGCCCATGACTATCCAGGCAGGTTTTGGCATATTTTTGCCTTAAATATAATGTGTTGATACTGAACTCCTAAAGAATTTGTCCTAAGATGGATATTGTTTGTGAGATTCATTCACTTAAAATAGTAAGAAAAAATGAAAACTTATCCTGAAATATTTTTGCATAATCAATTCATTTTTTTTCTTTTTTAGCATAATCAATTCTAATGACTGATTCACACTGACAAACTGAGGAAAAAGTATATAATTCTATATATAATACTATATACTATATACTTTTTACAATAAATAAAATATAAGCACAATATTTCAATACCTTAGAAGCTTTACACATCCAAAATACAGTGCATATGCATATATAAAATATAACTCTCAAATTTAATGATTAAAGATACTACAAATTACTGTAATCTTCATTATAAATTATATATACTTCAATGTAGAAATATATTTTCTCTTAACATTTTGTTTCAGCAATACCTTGAATTGTGAAATTATAGAGAAATTATAAGTTCATATGCAGGAGTTTTTAATAATTCAGTGGTAAAGTGATAAAACAAAGAAGAGAAATCTTAATTATATAAAAAATAACCACTTTGAAGAATAGAGAGATAAGTATAGTGTTCCATTTTCTAATAGGTGGTAATACTGAAATTAAAAGAGAATAAACCAGATCTTAACATCCTGGTATCTTGAGCACCACCTCTATAGAATGGAGTGGGTCAATTTAGGGGGTTTCTATGAAGTCAAATTACTAGGTTACCATCCCATAAAAATTACTCTAGAAGCACTCTTCTTACAAGGCAAAATGTATTTTAGCATGTCTCAAGAATTAACAACAAAACAAAAAAAGAATTAACAAACTATGTCTCAATATTTCAAAACTTGTATTATAAATAACCTCTGCTTAAGTTACTTTAAATCATGGTGTGTGTGTGTGTGTGTGTGTTTGGACAAAGGATGTATATTTAGGGGTGAAAGTGGAAGACATTTATTCCCTTTTTAAAACTAGGTTGAATAAAATTTTAAATGTTGCTCAAGAGTTAAATGTTTAATACCATACCAGTGTTTGCCTATTTTATCATTTTTGGCCAGCTGTACTACCCACTGAGTTATTTAAGGAGTTGCTTAGGTAACTGTAAAGTGACATGAGAAAGCTTGTTCTGAGAGTTGGTATGTAGTGTTTACACATATCTGTCATTGTGTAGGGGTTTTCTGAAGTGCTTGGGACAACTTCTCATTCTCCTCAAATTTGAATTCTCTTTCTAGTCGAGTACATATTGAGTTAAAATATCCTACAACTATATTTACTTTCAGAAACTGTATGTGCTTTGTAACTTATAAGGAAATTGATTTGCAAATATATTTCAATTAACGTACCATTCTTCACTTCAAATTTTCTTATATCCAATACCATATAATCACTCTAAAAAAGCACTTTGTTTCTAACTTTATCTTACAAATAAAGCCTCCAAAAAGAGGAGAGAGGCAGGGGAGTGTGTAAAACTTAGTCTGATTACAATGTTTAAGCATTTTAAATATGTAGGATATATGAGAACTTAATTGTTACTAATCCATTGATATTTATATTCTGTTTCTTCTGTTTGGGCTCTTTGCTCTTCTCGATGATTAGCTGCAGTCCAAAATGTTATCTTTTTGAATACTTGCTGTAGGAGTTTAGGAGGTAGTAAAGATATCTGACTTTCTAAAGTGATAATATTTTTACCAATGCAGTCAAGGCAGGACCTGTAAACAAAACATAATAGCTTTGTAATCAGAAGCTATATTTATAGATATGTATTTAAAAAGTGAAAATAATTATAAAAATTTTACATGATAATGTACCCCCTTTATATTATTTAGAACATATCAGAAAAAAATTTCCCAGAGCACTACACATGTATTTTTAGACACATAATACCAACATCAAGTAGAAATAAACAACATGATTTATCATACAAATGCAGACCCTTTCAAACGTTTCTTTCTAGCCCACTTCTTCTCTGAGAACTGTTTTTTCTCTTCCCAGCCCTCATGAGTCCCCTCTCTGACATCCATTTGAATACCATGTGACCTGGCCTTCCCCATCTCCCCTCCGCAAGTGACTGCGCTGAAGTGCCCAGAGAGGAAGTCTGAAGAGAGAAAGGAGGCAGCTGTGCAGAAAGAACTGAGAGACTACTTGGGTTTCTCCCCTCTGGGGGTCTGGATGTTCCCGTCTCCCCTTTTGATTCTATTAGAGGACCATAACCTTTCGATTAAATTCTTTTATAATCTTAAACTTGTTTGAATTGGGTTCATAACTTCAAAAGAATCTTGACTATCCAATACTAAGATAAGATCTATTTCGGTAGGTAATACTTTATTTCTAAAATAAATCTTCTAAAGTTTTAAGGAAATTCATTTGATTCTGCTATGATTAACCTTACTTATCATTTTCACAAGGATTTGCACTCTAGATATTTTTTTCTGATTAATAACCATCCTAGTGGATTTGAACTGGTAAAAATTTCATTGCTGTTTTTATTTAAATAGTCCTAATGAGTAATTGTGTTGAGCATCTATATATGTGATTGTTGGCAATTTATAAATTTTCTTTAGAAAGTACTTACCCATTTTTCAATTGGGTTCTTTTTCTTTTTGGTATTCAGTTTAGTTGTCCTTTTTTCTTTTCATTTATTTATTTATTTTTAGATTTTATTGGGAGTTCTTACAGATAAAACAATCCATAGTTCAATTAGATCAGGCATAATTGTACAATTGCCACCATCAGTTTCAAAATATTTTCTTTCTTCTTGAACTCTGATGTCAGTTCCCCTTTGTCCCCTCTTCCCCACCGCCCCCCCAGGATATATTATATTATTTATTTCACCTACCATTCTGAGTGGGGTTAACCTTGAGTGGGGTTATGTAGTCATAGCTATCAATTCTTCCTTCCCCCACTCCACCCACCTCCGCCTCTTTCCATACCCTCTGAGAATCATTACTCAAGTTACTACTTCTGAAGGGTTTATCTATCTTGGATTTCATATATCAAACAATCTTATACAAATGAACATATGCAGGTCTCACAAGATTAATGAAGTAAAACTAAAACCCTAATGGTAAGGGGAGGAAATATTAAAGAACGAAAGGATAGTTATGTGTTTCATCAGTGCTACAATGCACCCTGCGCCCTTCCATGCAGCCCTTCTGTGAGGGCCTTACAGGTAGGTTTTGGATCTCCTCCTTGCCTATGCTTGACGTCAATTTGAGTGCTTGTTTTTTGACAGTTGCACTTGTTCTGTAAGTATTCTGAATATTGGTCAAACTTCAGATAAAAGAATTACAGTTATTTCCTTCCCTTTTGTAAGTTTTTTTCACTTTTCGTTTTCCCCCTCAAAGGACAGTGTTCTTTGATGTATAAAAGCTATTTTTGATGGAGAAAAATGATCTATTTAGTCTTTTGCTGTCCATGCTTTTGGTGGCACATCTAAGAATCTATCCCAAATCCAAACTCATGAAGTTACCCCACATGTTCATCTAAGTGTTTTATGGGTTAGCTCGTGTACTTAGGCTACTGATTCATTTTGAGTGAGTTAATTTTTATATATGAGTGAGATAGGGTCCAACAAATCTATTACTTGTGGAGCTCCATTTATTGAAAACACAAAAATGTCCCCATTGAATGAACTTGGCACTTCTGTAAAAAACCAAACTAAACCAATTGACCACACATATATGCGTTTATTTTTAGACTTTCAACTATTTTCCATTGGCCTATTCTTATGCCAGTACCACATGGTTTTGATTACTATAAGAAGTTTTGAAGTTGGGAAGTATGTGTCCACCTTTGTTGTTTTGACATTCGAGGTTCTCTGTAATTCCATATAAAGAATCAGATTTTTGGTTATACCAAAAAAAGTTTGTTGGAATTTTGATAGAGATTACATTGAATCTGTAGTTCACATCTTAACAATGAAATCTTCCAGTGCATGAACACAAGATGCCTTCTTATTTATTTGGGTTTTCTTTAATTTCTTTCAAAAATATTTTGTGGTTTTCAGTATACAAGTCTTGTAGCTCCTTGGTTAAATGTATCTTTAGGGTTGTTTTTTTTTAATCTCTCCTATCAGATGACCTCACTATCAAAACTGTCTTAAGGTCCTGCCCAAACAAATTTATCTCTATAGCTACACTTTCTTCTTTCCAAGTAAAATACTAATTCAACTACCTGGTCTCAAATTCCCCTCCTTCAGTCGTTTATTCCTTCATTTTCTTGAATTCCCAACTTCCTCCTCATTGGTTCCTTCCCTCAGCACATTCTTTCCTGACTTGCTTCTCTCAGGTGTCATTCTGGTTTCCGGTTTCACCTAACTTCCCAGGACTGTCGAACTCCACAGCGCATTCCACTCCGATTCTGTGATCTCTCCAGTGTCTCTCCACTTTGAATCCTCTTCCTTCTCAGATTTGGTACCAATATCTCTTGGTTCACCTTTGACTGCTCTTGCTACTCCCATGCAAATACCTTCCACCTTTCTTCTACATACACAAGTGTTAGGCGCCCCTAATGCTCAATTGTTGGCTTCTTCTCAACTCTGAAAGCTCTTCCTGGGTAGAATTAACTCATACCTATTTATATCCCAATGATTACATCTTTATGTCTGACCAGCCCCCTCTACATATTATTAACTATTTGCACTACTTGATCACAGATTCTTAGTTCTTGTTCTGCAAAGACTTCTCGAAGCTTTCCTGTCCTTACCATCTAACAGAAGGCTGCCTTCTCCAGAAGCTTCATGAACATTATGGTTCTCTCGTGGCAATTTTCTTTTCCGTTTTTGAAAATCTTATCTTCTCATTAAGGGGGTTGAAATGGATGAAATGAAACAAAATGCATATGAATTGTTGCATGATCTTCTGCTCTGCTCTGCAATTCTTTACCAAATTCACAATTTAAAGTTTATTTTAAAAGTCTATCTTCTTTACACATTTAGTCAAGAAGTATTGCTACCAAGGCTTGCATTCACACATGTATGTGTTTAATCCAAACAAAACATGTTTAAATGTGTTTCTGAAATCTTATGGCTCTAGACAAGTTCTCTCATCAAGATACTTGTTAGGGTGCCTTTTTAAAAGCTCTAATCAAAACAGTGAGTTCCCAGGGGATGTGCTGGCCACTTAAATTGAGAGCAGAGAGATTAGTTCAGAAAGCTATGGTGACTATTTTGAGAGGTTATCAAAGGGGTAGTCGATAGATTTTTCTCAAAAGACACACAAAACACTAGAGCTTATTATGAAGTTATAAGGAAACTGAAAAATACAATGGCGAGAAAAAGACCAGGAATGGCAATGAACCTGGGTTTCTCCAAAGGTAGCAAAGACTGTCCTATGAGAATTTTTTTTGAAAATCATTTTATTGGGGGCTCATACAGCTTTTATCACAATACATACATGCATCCATTGTGTCAAGCACATTTGTACATTTGTTGTCATCATTTTCAAAATATTTTCTTTCTACTTGAACCCTTGGTATCAGCTCACTTTTTCTTCCCTCCTTCCGCTGCCCTCCCCCCCTTCCTCCCTCATGAAGCCTTGACAATTTATAAATTATTCTTTTTTCATGTCTTACACGGACTGATGTCTGCCATCAACCACTTTTCTGTTGTCCATCAACCAGGGAGGGGGTTATATGTAGATCTGAGTTTCATTGGGAGACCTTATCCTATCCCTGCGCCCAAATCCTGTCCCTTCAGACTCCTTTTGTTGTCAACTCAAACAGCACTTAAAGGAACACAATTTGAACCCGAGAATACCAAAACTGCCTATTTGACTTGCTGTAAATTGAAGAGTGTAAAATTCTTCAGAGAAGGGTTAGACAGATGGAAATAACATCTTCAGAAGTATATTGAGCTAGATGGAGGTTCTGTTGAGAAACAATTTCACAATAGCTTCACATTTTGATGTTTTGTTTAATAAGGGTTTGTATGATTTTCTGGTAATCCATTTTTTACTTACTTTCAGACATATCTACTATCTATTTTAAGTTTTTAAATCAAATACTGTTTGAAATTGATGGCATAACTCACAGTGTCACAGCTCATGCACGCTTGTTTTCTAAGGAGTATGTCTGAGGTGTCACGGACACTTGTGGGAACACACTGTTTCTGCCTGTCTCTCATCTCTCATCCCTAAAGACTGTGAATGTATTGGCCTAGGGTACAGCCTGGACTTTGGGGTTTTGAAAAGATCCTAAGAGAATTCTAATGTGCAGACCAGGATGGGAAATGCTGCTATAATGATTTATCCTTTTAAAAAGAATTTTAATAAACAAACAACATCACATGCAACATTAATTTCTACATGTTCTCTATAGTAACGTTCCTGAAGTTGTATGACCGTTTTCCCTTCTAACCTGTTCCAGCACCAGAATTATCTGCAATATACTCAGAGCAGAAACCTCCTTCTTCTCTGCTCCTTCTAGCTTCTAACCAAAAATTCACTGCCATCAAGTTGATCTCAACTCATGGCCACCCTACAGGACTGGGTGGAACTGCCCTTGTGGATTTCTGAAACTATAATTCCGTTACGTGAGTAGAAAGCCTTATCTTTCTTCCTGAGAGCGCTGGTGGTTTTGAACTGCTGACCTTGCAATTAGCAGACCAACATGTAACCACTATGCAACCAGGGCTCCTCTGGCTTCTGATAACCACTAACACTATTTTTGGCTTCTATGTTTGCTTATTTCAAGTGATAGCAGATAGTATTTGTCCTCTAGTGGCGACTTATTTTGTCCAGCAGGTCAAGTTTCCTCCATGTTGTAACTTGCATCAGGACTTCATTCTTCTTTATGGTTGTGTAATATTGCGTGGTATGGTTTTACCACATTTTATTTATCCATTCATCAGTTGATGGCTATTTAGGTTGTTTTGACTTGCTGGCTATTGTAGACGGTGCTGCAACATAAGCGCTGGTGCAACACATCTGTCAGTGTCACTGCTTTCAGGTCTTTTGGGTACTGACCTAAGGGTAAAATTGCTGAGTCATCTGGTAGCACTATGTCCAACTTTTTGAGGAACTGCCAAATTGTTTTTCATAGTAGCTTTACCATTCTGTTATTTCCACCAGCAGTGGATGAGGGTTTCTGTTTGTCCACAGCCTCACCAACTTCTAAGTGTTTTCTGTTTATTTTGTAATCATTATCATTCTTATGAAGGTGAGATGGTATCTCATATTTAATCTTCCTCTGAACTGATGGGCTTTATGTTTTGAACCTCTGCCAGCCTCTTGGCCCTGAATCATATACTGCCATTTTATAGTTACTGAACTTTTACTACGAATATTACTAGTCTCCATAATGAGATTGCAGGTTCCTCATATGTAAAAATTAAATATTTTAGTACCTGCTGTATTAGTTTTTTTAAGCTGCTATAACAAAATAATACGAATTGGGTGACCTAAGGACAGAAATGTGTGAGTATCTACATATACACATCTATTTTAGATGTATTCTGAATTCAGAAAACTTACGATGTGAAAGAAATAAGCTTTATAATAAAGGAAATATAGTGTTTTGTGTTTACTATTATCATATAAATTGAGAGCAGTTTACCAAACAAATGTGACTATATTGTATATTTTATTTTAAAAAACCAAAGTAATATATGGTTTACCATTAAAAATTTCATTATTTCTTTAGAAAGATGCTAACATTTTCTAAAATGCAAATCATAAACTACCTAAAAAACATTTTCTTTAAAAAGGGGGAAGAAAGAAATAGTCATACATTACTACTATTTATGACCAGAAATACTGAATTTGCTTACCTGAGTAGCGAATAAGGCTGTGTTTGAAAGATCAATAAATCATTATAGTGACCCTAATAAACAAGAGAGAATATTAAAAGCTATATCAGGGTTTCTTAATAAAGGCCACAGTATATTAAAATTTTAATATCTTTTATGAATTAAAAATGTATAAATGAACAAATAATCTCTTTTTCTCTAGCTACACACACACACACACACACACACACACACACTTTGGTGGACAAATTTTTACACAAACAAAATCTATGCAATTGCAAACTTTAAAAATTAGAAGCATGTTTTTCTTTTAGAACAATAAGTTCAAGATTGTAACAGCAATAGGTTTCAAGTATTTTTTATTCTATGCAGAACTTTTTCTTCCATATAACCTTTATCTTAAAATATCCCCCTTATGCTGCCTCCCATTTTCAGGTGGTCCCAGGATTTCTGGGGAATTTTCATTTAAAAATAATAGACTTGGGCATTTTTTTGAATAATAATTCCATCATCTAAACATTAAAATGGGGGGGGGGGGAAACAGTAGAAATTTAATTTAATCCTTTCAAGTAGCTCTTTAGAATCTCATGATTTATAATCATGACCTTATTCAAAATAATAAGCTTTGTCTCCTAAGTAAAGATTACTAGTGCCAAAAACTACGTAAGTCACAGTTGGCCTTTAATTATAGGTAAAGCACAGTCAGAGCTATGAGTCATAACTGACTTGGGAGCAACTAATAACACAAGCTGTAGTTAAGCCTTTTTTGACACTCTGAATATTTAGTCCAATAAAGTTCTAAAACTTTTGATACATGTAAGTGAAACCTCTAAATTGGAAGCCCCAGAAACACAACCTACACGGAATGTTCTGAAGAGAAGCCACCTTATCTGCGGTTCACCGTTGCATGGGTGCTACTCTGCAGATAACTGTGTTGGAAGAGAGGGGAGGAGACTGGCTGTCCTCGGGGTTGCCCTCATCCCTGCCATCTGAGTCCTTCCTGTGTTTGCCGAACACTATCTACACCACATAAACCACACCTGAATTCCTGGCTCATATACAAGGCTAAGTGTGACCAATTTGCTGCGAATATTCCAAGAGTCTAGGAGTGAAAGATGAATACTTTCAAAACACTACTCACTTACTCCTTCGACCTTAGTTGTATCGGATTTTAAATTTAGAAGGCTTTAAATTCAAATATAAAACAACTGAGTGCAAAAGGGGCACAAAGGAAAAAGAAACACTTAAAAGGTTTCAAAAAAGTAATTTCTTCTTGAGGGAAAGGCACTATCAGGTAAGATTCAGAAAAAATAAGAGATAGTTTCAACAATATTGGTAGTATTCTAGATTTTAAGTTGGGAAACAAGTTTTATGGGTCATGCTCTTATTATTATGTTCAGTAGTTTACTTCTATATTTAATGTATCAAATATTATGCATGCACGTTTTGAACCAATCATATACTATGGTAAGGTCCAAAAAGGAATGAAGGAAAGGAAGAGCCATCCTTTAAAGCCTTAATTAATTGGCATCACAAAAGCCTCACATTCTGAAATTAATCCTACCAGAATGACATTTCATGTTCTTCCTTAGTTTGCAATGTTAGAATATCAACTTTCTTGTTGAACATTTAGTTTGAAAAACACAATTATGCAAATAAAGTGCTTATATTAAAATTTTTCTTACTATATCCAAGGAAAGTAAATCATCTTTGCTCCCACCAAATACCATTACTTCATTTTCTTTCCCCAAACAGGCTGTATGCCATAGCCTATGATTGAAATTTAAAAACAGTGAAATTATTGTCAAGGAAGTAGTATACATTACATGTCTATAAATTTGTTATTGTACACTCTCAAATTCAATCTGCTTCAAAGAGGCATCATTGAACTTGAGTTTTTGCATATCCTCAAAGAGGGCTCAATTTTTAAGATTGCTCTTGAATTTATTAAATCATACTGTTAAAATTAAGATAACTCTCAATTGCTCTGTTATATTCCTCTTAACCTTGTATCTGTTTATCTCAGATATTTTTACTGTAATATACACATTGAAAAAGTAATTTAGCCCATTGCTGACACAGTCCCTTCTCCCAATTTTCCACTATCTTCATGGCACTATTCTCATAGTTATTCTTTCTACTCTACTTTCTGTTCCCGTCACCTGAGAAATCTAATTGGCACATATATTACAATTTTCATACTACTCATCTCCCTGGGTACAGAATACCATATGTTCTTATCTTTTTTTTCTAACTGATTGCTCCTACTTTCTTATAGCTGATAAATGATATTTCTCAAATACTGTTTTTGATCATAGAAATTTCCTTTGTTACCAAGGGCCTCTACTCTTATCCTAATATTCTTAGCCTAATACTCATGATCATTCTTTCGCTACAAATCTTAATTCTTGCCTCCCCCAGATGAACCATTTACTTGACTCAAGTTCGTTTATTTCTTCCTCTGAGAAAGCTTATTATCTATCACTAAACTTCTAAGTCCACCCTGGTTCTTAAGCTCAAAATGGTATGTCATTCTCTTAGGGCCTTTAAAATCGATTCAAACTCACCAAGAAATATTCCAAATACACGTGAGAATTCTGTTTAACTTCTCTCTCCAGTACTCTTTTCAACATTCTTGTACTCGTTTATACTCTCCTAATTTACATTCTGAGATAAATTGATATGTTACTTTGTTTTCTCTGTGTGTCTTCTGGCTCTCTTGTGGTCAGAAATTGGAAGAGTGGTGTGCTATACCTTGACCCAGGCTAGCTAAAGGCAACTCCATGTTCGGTGATATGTCAGTGGTTAGAAATAGGCTATGATGCGAATATAAGAGTCCTTTCTTTTTTTAAGAACAGGTAATCTGATTTTTATTTTTTTTTTGTTTTTTTTGTTTTTTTTTTCTTTTACAGGTAATCTGATTTTATGCTCTTCTAAAAAATGCTTAATATGGTATTCTATACCCAGTAGGTGCTCAATGTTTTGATTAACAAAAATACCCATAGAACTCATTGAGTGATTAATGTATAGATTATTTCAAAAGTGGAACATTAAAATGTTCTTTTTGAAATAGCATAACAGTTTGTTCCCATCCTAATTTTCATTGTTTACCAAGAATAATTTTATGATTTCACAAAGTTCAATATTTCAGAAAGTTTTCTCAGAAAAAAAGTACATGTAAATATCCTCTAAATATTTTATTTAGAGGATAAATGAAAGATTTTACAGTCATTGCTTAACTCTGAAGCAATAAATTTATAAAACATATCACTGTTTTATTACCACATGACCAATATTTAGTACATACATCTTTTTTACTTAACTTCTACAAGTGCAAACATTGGAATCATGCCCAATTTGTTGAACCAAAGACTTTACTCAAATAATCAAATAATACATTCAATGGCTTGGGACCCAGGCTAGAACTGAGTCATTAGAGATTTTATTTGGGAAATACTCTACCCAATTCTCCAACTCATATGCTAGAACATAGATTTATATAACTATTCAGCAAGAATCCAGATTATGTTGTGAGGTTAGGTGGACACTTGGGTAGAAAGAATGTCCTCTGTCCGGAAAGGGATATCTTAACTTCATGGAGAAAGGGCTAGGTATATCCTTGGCGGTACAGGGGCCACATTACCTACAGTTTACATATACTAACACTTTCTCAGATGTCTTTTAAGACATGCAAAAAAGAGTCCTTGCTGAACATCACCTATCTAGGCTGTGAGATATGGCGATATAGAAGGCTTTGTGGTCATAGTTTTTATGTAAGATGAGATCTAGAGTGCTACACTGTACACCAGTGATACTCAATCAAGGGTGATTTTGCTCCCAAATGGACATTTGACAACTGTGGGCATATTTTTTGTTGTCAAAACCTGAGCTGGTAAACATCTTGTAATGCATGAGACATCCGTAACAAAAATGATTTTGTCCAAAATGTCAATGTTGAAATTGAGAAACCCTTATTATAGGAGAAGAATTGGGCAGTTTACATTTCACATTATAATTTGGAAAAGTTTGCACAAAACTCATGTTAATGGAATTAATCACTTTCATTTAAAAAGTCAGCATATAATCATATAAATATATTCTCCTTACACTAAACTGTATCCCACCTGTTCTCCTCCTCACCTCATACCTGAAGATAGATCTGTCTCTGTCTTATCTGCCTTAGGGAAACTCTGGCCTGGACCTCATCCTCGGAGAACACTGGAAAGCCTTTCCTGCCTTGATTTTGGTGACATCCAGCTTGCAACCTGATGCTTTTCTATAGACTGATTGTTTATGTCCTCTCACAGCTGCTCTAAACTTACACCTAAATATTCTAATAAAGCATAGTATTTACATGACACATCACTGAATTAAACAAAATCTCCTTACATAGCTCCTCTAACTAATAAATTATTGATAACAGTTGTGGTGCTCTATTTATTCAAAGTTATACTATAAAATAGAAACAATTTTAAAGTAAAACATTTTACTTCACTTTGGTCTATAATTAGTGTATTTGTATAATTAAAGAACTTGAAGAAAACTAAGAGTTTATCTAGTCAAACTCTCATCTCACAGATGAAAAAAACTGAAGCTTAATTTCCTTAAGAGACTGTTCCAAAGCCACAGACAAAATAGTAATGATTAAACTCTGGGCTACCCAATGTTAGGCTAAAGCTCTTTAAATAAAAAAAATTATTTCAAAATATCAGGAATTTTCAAAATCATATCATCTAATAAACTTTTATACAATAAGATATAAAAGCTACATACAAAGGGGCTTCTAAAAAGCTCATGGGTAAAAATAAATAAATAAATAGATAGATAGATAAAAAGCTCATGGGAAAAAAAAAAAAAAACTCATGGGCAAACACCACTCTCTGGTGTGAGTGGCAATACTGGGAGGGTAGAGGGAGAGTGGGTTGGAAAGAGGGAACCGATTACAAGGAACTATATGTGACCTCTTCCCTGGGGGACAGCCAACAGAAAAGTGGGTGAAGGGAGACGTCGGACAGGGCAAGATATGACAAAATAATAATTTATAAACTATCAAGGGCTCATGAGGGAGGGGGGAGGGGGTAGGGAGGGGAAAATGAGGACCTATGCCTAGGGCTTATGTGGAGAGGAAATGTTTTGAGAATGATGAGGGCAATGAATGTACAAATGCGCTTTACACAATTGATGTATGTATGGATTGTGATGAGTTGTATGAGCCCCTAATAAAATGATTAAAAAAAGAAAAAAAATACCAGTCTTTAAATACATTTTTCTACAAACATTTGGAAGTTCCCTCACATGTAATTATGATACAACATTAATGCATTCACAGTAAAACTCACACCTAGATATATACCCTAATATTTTTAGACATTTTTCTCAATTAAGTTATACAATGGTCACTTGTTAAATAATTAAATACATATCATTAAGTTGACTTCACACTAGTATAAATGAAAAATTAATAAAGAACTGAAATACATGTCATGAAGAAGAATAAAACCTATTAATGACTCCAGTAATTATAATGTACTGAATTTGAATTTTCTACACAGATTTTTTTAATACTATGAAATAAAATTAGAGGAAATTACAATACTTTAAATACTAATGAAGCTATCATTGTAGTTTAATATTACTATATTTGTATCATTTTTACCCTATCATATACCACAAATAAATAACAGTTAAAATTTCACATTAGTGTAGACCATATACAGTTATTAAAATTTTTTTTCATCTACTAATATCGACAAAGACAAATTTTCATATTAATTTGCTTGAATCATCTTTGAAAAATATATTACTAGCAAAGTCAACCCCTATGCTTGTCTAATTATTATCAATATTACCATATTTTTAATCTAGTTAAAAAAATGTATCAGAGAAGTGTATATACTTATTATAAGAGCATTTTCAAGTATGTATTATTATATGCATATGGAAACATGGGTGCAAACAAGATTAATTATTTCTAACAATCATATGTAATTAAAAGAATAATTAAATTAATCATGTAGGTAACATCAAATATGCTAGAAAGATATCCTTCCTGATGGTTTATGACTTTAATGATAAACACTATAAATTCAGTACTGTATTTTAATACTTTAAAATTCCTAACTATTTTATTATTTGTCAACTTCTGGACCTACCTGGGTCTTGTTTTAGGTAAATGTGTAAGTTGTTTCCAACAATTTGTTATGACATTATGAATCCAACCATCACCTGAAAATTTATGACAAGAAATTAAGATGAGATCTTTGGGATAATATTTTAAATGTTTTCCAATTTTATCATGCTATATTTATACAACTATCTTTTGTCTGTTTATTTTATCATTAAAATTCTAAACATATGTATATAAAAGTTGAGTGGATAAGACAATGGACAACCATATACCTGACTCAACAACTATCAAGATTTTGCCACACAAACACAATCAAAGGGATAACTTA